GCGTCAGACTCAGTACACTGAACTTTTAATTTTCCAAAGCAGGCAATGGAAAAATTATAGAACCTCACTGTTTCCAATTAGTTATGGACTTCTGTTTATTCCTTTACCACAGGCATTTTTGCTTACTTAGTAGTACAAATTGTTAATCATAAAAATGTGCTATCATCTCGCGTGTGCTAAGAATGAACAAGGAACTGGCTCCTTGCCCTGCAAAACTCAAGCAATCCTCACTCCTTCGTTTCCAGACACTTTTTCCAAGGGGTCTGATTGACTGATAACAACAACTGAAAGATTACCGTGAACTCATAGAATGCCACTGCCTGTCCTTCACATTTCCCAGTAGGTGAGACTCTCAAGGAGTTATACTGCCAATATTATACTACTTGGGCAATAACAAATAGTGCATCCTACCATTCCCTTAGAAATTAATTTCACTACTCTTGACAGTGAGGTGGTAGCAGATAAAAAAAATCTCCTTTCATGTACCTTGAGTATGCATCAAAAAAATGTTAGTAAACTGCTGAAAATTACAGTAAAAATGTTAAAATAATGTCAGGGTTGGGAAAAAAAGTTCTGAGATCGAGATTATTGAATTTACAATGCCCAGTGTAGAGAAAAAACATACTAACGGTTCCCAAATAAAGATAAAATTATTCATATTTAATAAAGCAATGGCAATGATAGAGATAACTAAAAGCAATGTTTTTCTTAGTAAGAATAAAAGTAAAAATAATAAACATCTGGAATGACGCAAATCCAGGGCAAAGAATAAGAAAATTACACTAAGATTCTTAACGCAATGAAAGAAACTTTCCAGAAGGTTATTAGAAAACCTCTTGCAAGCTCTGCATAACTGCCTGCTTATGTTTCTTCTGCCACATTCTACAAGCTTCTTAGGCACCTTTCTATTTTTTACTTTGCGTGTAAGGACTGTGCCCCAGCATTTGCAATCTTCTCTTTTAAGCTCATATCACGCTCCTGAAGCCTTCTAAAACTTGTTCCCAGTAATGGTGTCACCACTTGGTTCTGACTGTAGGCAATGGCCTAGCCTACTATCTCTGCAGGACACTACTACCCCTATGACAGAGGCAAAGGCATACTTCTCATAAGTGACTACTGATTTAAGATGATTCCACTGATAAGTTCCATCTAAAGACACATTCTTTACACTTCCTAAAAATCAGTACCTGACAGTCTTTGAAACTGGTCTCTACCTTTTGACTACTTAATGTCTGCTAATCAGTTAAAAAAATTAGTAGTCTTCTCCCAATTTTATTTTTTTTAATAATATGCTGTATAAATAGACAATATCAAATCTCTTCAGGTATCCATTTGGGAATGAGCTCTTAGTAAGTTCTGACACAGTGCAGTGCTGTGGGTTAGCTGAAAGAATAGACAAAGTTTACAATAGTAATGAATCTGCAACTCTACTAATTTATGAGCATTTTTTCCAAACATCGACTAAGAGATAGAGCGAGAGAATAATAGACTGTAACTTCTCCTTTACAATGCTCTGTTAATACAGAAAACCCAAGATGCCTGTACTCTAAGGAAGCTGTCAACACAGTTGCAGGCAGAAGGTCCCACTATCACTTCCAGCATTGGCAAGCAGGAGGTCATTGCTAGGGAATGAAGCTTGGGGAGGGAAGCAAAAGGAAAAGGCTGGGGTGAGTGGAGGGGGAGAATCAAAGATCTTTCTTCACCATTCTTTTTTTACAGCTTTTGTGTGTCTGGACTGATTTGTTGTGGGAGAGCTGCTGGAGACAGTATATTTGGCACAGGACAGGGTAGCTCAAAGCCAAAAGGATGGTGCTATTGCCAGTTCAAACCATGGCTTGTCTTTTTTTTTCTTTCTTTTTTTTTTCCCTTTTTCCCCCTTCCTCCTTTTTCTTTGAAGGAAGGAGAAGAAAACAAAAAAAGGAAGAAAGGCTTGCAATGAAAACCAGAGCAGTGGGTTAACAATGGCCCTGCAGGCTTCAGTAGGCTGGAAAGATACACGAGGCACTTCCTCTACCATCTGGCATGCGATTCTGCTGCTGCTGCTCTTAGTACATAACTTTGGAGTGAATAATCAAACAAGTAAAACTTTTTAGGAGACACCAATTATGAAACACCAGATATTAATCTGCCAGCTTACTCCCTTCCCTTTTCTCCCACCACAGTATTCTGTTCCTCAAGTCTTTTCCAGTTCTTATGTCTACCTGTGAAAATATGCACTGCCTTGTCAGGTTTTCAGATGACTATTCTTGCCTTTTCGTTTGGCACTGCTCCTCAGGATGAGTGAAGGCCAGAGGTAATACATTTATATTTCTCTTACAATCACTTAAGCTTCTTTGACTTGGAGTATCAATAAAGCCATCCATCTCTGTTGAAAGATTTCCTTCAAGTCTGGCTGTAAGTGAGAATGCAAAAGAAAAGTTTTAAGTGATCTGAGCTTGCTCAATGACCATTTAAAATGCAGTCACAAATGGCTGGGTACATTGCTGTGTAGGAGTATGTTCTGTTTTAATTCTGATGGCTTTTCTCAAGAGCAATGAAAAGTGTTATGTTGAGGTCACATCTTCAAGTTGGGTAAATCATCACAGCAGAGCTGAACTCAGAGAAACAGAAAACTTGCAAAATCTGAGCATTTTGTTTCTTAAAAGTCTCTGGGTGATGCTACAGCTGACTTCTGATGCTGAAAACCACATAATCAAATATGTACCTTCCAGGCTTTCCTGTGAGCAGCTTTTATCTGGCTCCAGTCTTGTAACACAAAAGACAAAAGGAAAGTCAGTCAGTAACAGCAAAATCTTGGATGAATTAAAGATAAGTAATCACTGAATGAGAATACAACTGTGAAGCACAAGTTTAGTAAGAATAAGATGTATTAATTTACAGACATACCCACTAATGCCAGGCAACAATTCTTACAAAATTTAACTTTGTTTTTTTCACTCGCAATTGCTGATAATTGAACTGGACAAAAAGCAGGAAAAGAAAAAGAAAAGAACAAAGGAGAAAAAGAAATACAAAAGCAAAGCAACTCCAGGCACTCCAGACTACCTACTGCCATTGCTTTCACTGGACACTAATCTTCCCAGAAAAAAATACATACTGTTTGCTAGGTTTATTACAAAGCTTCTTGAAATGCTAAAACTGTAACAAAAACAGACGTATTTCAGTTTGGTTTTTGACTGGCCTCCTGCTTTGCACCTGTAGAACTGTCAGTGAAAGCAAATATAACAATTAATGCTTCAATTCTGATCCTGATCCTATCCACAAGGCAGGCACATACCCAAGTGACCCAGCTACAGGGAGCATAAAACTTCTCACAATTTTAAGGGTATAAAAACGTAGGATAGATTTTGAAAACTCAGAAGATTGCTATTGCTGCTACCAAGAAGGTTGAAGGCTAAGTTCTGTTAGGCACTTAAATATTCAGATATTCATCTAAAACTGGGCCAGGCATCTGTGAATACATTCTCTTTCCAGATACCTGGTATTTTTTTGCATCCAGGGAAGCTGGAAGTGCCACCAGGATAGCCTTTTGCAGTGCTCTGGCACTTCTGATCATTGTCCCAGCAGGGAGCAGGAAGTGCAGAGGTAAACAAAGAGGAAAAATAATAACAACTACCAGAACAAAAAAGTTACTCTAACTCCTTGTAGCTCAAAACCAAAATTATGTAACTGGGGGGTAAAGTTTGATTTGCCCAACAGACAAGCAGCCTCCTAAATATTTTGGCCCAGTTTATCCCTCTCTAACAGGAACAACATTGCCCTAAAGAGTAATTGCACAACACACTCTGACACAAAAAACCTAAAACATCACAAGAAACTGTATGAGCTTAAAAACAATAAAATTTGCCTTTCCACAAAATCATAAGCATTGATTGTATTAATGTCTTAATGCTTGTGCTACTGTACTGCACATCATCTATTTGTTTTCTTTGTCCTTAACCCCTTTGTTCAAAGAGTCAGGATATCCTGATGCTAAGGACTCTGCAAATAACAGTACAACAATAGTATAATACTTTGGAAGCACTTCACAATTTTCAAGACAGAGCCATCTGAAAGTGTACTGTGCTAACAGAATGGCACTAGAGCCTGCAGTCAAAACAGGGCTAGTTTTTTTAAAAGGATCAGAGTTGTCAGTTTGAGGTGGTACCATAAGCATGGTACAGGATCCTAGAACAGGGGAACAGCACACTGCCCCTGCTGATGCTGACATGAGGAGAAAAGGCTTGTGTACGCTGTTTTCTACAGGTAAGGGTGTTTGTTGACTTTCAGTCCATGCTCTTGGCTCCTCTTCTTCCATGAAGGAAGATCCTGTTTGTTTGCCAGTTTGTTTTTCCATCTGCAGAGAAGGCAGAATATTAAATGTAACCCAGAGAAGACAAAGATATAGATGCTAGAAAATACTATAATGCCCACTAAAATCTTATTAAATACATATCCTGCCGTTTTACTGAAAAACAAGTGCTAGTTCAAGGGTCCACCCTCCTTCCACCCCTTTGCAGTACGCTCTGCAAACTAACAGCTACAGGGCAGACCAGTAACGAGAGCAAGCTAAAAGGGACAGTTCTGAAAACCGCAAGGTCCCTCCAAGCCAGGGATCCTGGGGACAGGACGGGTGCTGCTGCAAGGCCTGGCCAAAGGGGAAGTGCTCGCTCCCGGCTGGAGAGCCCCAGCACACCAACTCATTTCTGCGTGAGACAGAGAACTCTCCCGGGCGGCTTTGCCTTGTCTTTAAATATTAGCGATGAATAATTGTCTTCTCGTTGGGAGTCTGAGAGTGATCGCTGCCACCAGGCAGTGTCCTGACGTGAACCCGTTCAGGTGGAGCTCTGCAGCCAAAGCGGTGAGGACGCAGGGCAGACCCCGCACCCTCCCCAAAACTGTAATTTCAGCAGCTCGTTCCTCTCTGACCCGCCAAGCGCCGTCACCTTCGTCTGCCCTTCTACACTCTCTACTTGGGTTCCGTCCCTCGGGCTGGCGGCCGAAAGCGGCGCAGGCGGCCCCGCTCCAGGCCCTCGCGGCGGGACGTCAATCACCGCCTTTCCTCCCGGCCGAAGGGCAGCCGAGGTTACGGGCCGGTGTGACTAAGAGGCCAAAACCCCCATCGGCTCCGCAGCCAGCTGGGCGAGGAGGAGGGCGGCGGGGTGGGGGCTCCCCCATGGCACCGCGGCAGGGGTGAAGTCAGCCTCCTCCTTCGCGAACAGTGGGGTGAGAAGGGTGGCTCTGCCCGCCCGGCCCCGCCGGCATCAGCAGCGGCCAGAGCCCCAGCCCCCGCCCCCGGGGCTCAGCGCTCCACCGGCATGAGCGGCGGCTCCGCGCCTGCCTGCCAGCCGCTTCGCCCCGGCTGCCGGCGCCTGGCGGCGGGCTGAGAGCACGCAGAGGGCGGGAGGGAGGGCGGCGAGCGCGGCGGTTGGAGCCCAGCGCTGCTTCCTTCCGCGCCCGCAGCTCGGGGCCGGGGCCGGGGCCGGGGCCGGGGCCAGGCTGCGGTGGGGCGCGCCCCCTTCGCCGGACGGTGGCGGTGGGCGGCCGGGCATCCACGCCCCGCTCTGGATGCCCATCGCGGCTGCTCGGGCCGGGGGCTGGCGGTGGCTCCCCGGCGGGGGGTGCGGGGCAGGATGCCGGTGCTAGAGCGCTTCTTCCCCGCGGTAGAGCCGGGCAGGCGGAGGAGGACGGGGGAAGAGCCCGTGCCCTTTCCCATGGGCAGCCTGCCCGGTTATCAGCAGGGGACCCTGGCCTGGGACTTGCCCGAAATGATCAAGATGGTAAAGCTCGTTTGGAAGTCCAATGGGGAGCTCCGCGGGGCGAAGCACAGAGGGGGTCTGGAGAGCGAGGATGCCCTGAGCGGTTCGGCAGGTAGGTTTCTCTCGCCCTGCTGCTCGGGGGAGCTGGGAGCAAGTGGGGCTCGGGGCTGGCGGGGGCCTGTGGCCGGTGCCGGTCCGTCCCGTCCCGTCGTGGGCAGCGCTGCTGAGGCTCGGGGCCGCTGACGGGTTGGGGAGCGCAGCCCGGTGGGTTTAAAAGCGTGCTTTTGGCAGCTCTCGCTCTCTCCTCCCGCGGACACGCACACACACGCGGAGTTTGTGCCAAATCTGGAAGCCCGGTCCGTTTGCTGGTGGCGCTCTCCTGTGCAGTCTGTAGCGTGATTTATAAAAGGGGTGATAAAAGCTCAGCTAAAAATGAGAGCAAGTAGCACCGCGGCTTGGAGGCTGACCCTAAGCAGAGCAGCAGGGCTTGATGCCGGAGCTTGGAGCCTCTCCCCGTCCAGCACGGAGCTCCGCAGCGGCGGCGGCCCCGCGGTCAACTTGGCGGCGGTGCGGGGCCGGGGCCGCTGGGCAGATCGGCTGCTGCAGGAGCGGCGGTGGCTGCGATCGCCCCAGCGCCCAGGGCTTTCACTGTCATTTTCGCTGTGGCCTCTCCTCTTACGCCGCGAAGTTCACGCCGGTCTGAGTGTGCTTGGCTCATTTCACATGATCTTCCCGTGCTTCCCGTCTGCGGAGCGACACCCTTAAGGCTTGTGTGTTGTTAGCTACCAGCATTAAAAACTTGAGACCCGTTTTTGCAGTAACACTGCCCTGTCCCACTACTTTCTCTTTGAACGTGGTGTATTACTGGCTAAAGAGCTCATGTTTTTTAATGAACTCCATAAATCTTGCATGTCAGTTTTTTCCTCATTCACTAACTGTCTTGGAGCTATATGGCACCGAATCAAATGCTTTACTGAAGTCCAGGTTGTAATTTCATTAGGTAGAAATGAGTTGTCATGTTAGCATAGTACTTACTTCAGTTAGTTGATACTGCATCTTACCCCATCCTCCACACATTGCTTATGGTTCTAAACCTCTTGCCTTCTGTTGGAGGTAACCTCTTGCCTCCTGCAAAACCTCTTGACTTCTTTTGAAGTCAGGCTTACAGGCCTACGATTGTCTCGCTATGAGCTGGTAATTTTTTTACTCTCCTGTCATCATACTGTCTTGACTTAACAGACTTACTGAAACTGTGTGGCTCATTCCTTCAGAAGTCTGAAGGACTTTCATCTCTCCAACTTGGTCACTAAAGTCTTCCAGTGCATTCAGTTGTCAAAGATTATGCCTTCACCTTCTTTCGGTGTACCCTCTATCAAGACTTACAATTTACAGTATTTCGTACCAGAACAATTTAATTTCTTATGTAGAATAACCTCCTTGCAGGTATTTCAAAGAGCACGTATGTATTCTGTGTGAAAAACTGCATATATAAACTTGAATAGTAAATAAGTATCTGTGTATGACTTTTGGGTGCCCACGAAGGTTGGCTGGTTGCTCACTGTGTGTCCATTATTTCAGATGAATAAAACTGAGAAATACATGGTTCACTTCTGGTTTGAAAAAGAGAAGATAAGTTCTCAGGCTCTGAGGAAGATGTACATCTTGGCACCCTACTCTTTGGGAATCGCTTCAGTTTGAAAGAATAACAGGAGTGTTGTGGATAAAAAAGAGGTCAAATTGCTCTATAAGACTTTGAGGAAATCAGCTGGGAATGTACCATAGCCAACCTGGGAGATTGAGGTTTGTGTGGTGAATGGTGAGTGTTCAGAGATGGACCCTAATCAAACAGAACTTAGGAAATGCTGCACTTCTTATACCTCATGTATGAGTAATAGTGGTTTTTCAGTATGCTTGTATTAGATCTGATGAAATTAGTTTCATTAGGTAGCAAATGAGATTCGCCTTCAGATTCCTGGAGGCAACTAAAAATGTGCATGAATGTACGGAGACAGATTAGTCCACTAGCAGGATATGAGTAACTTGCATTTACTCAAGTGGCTATTACTCGTATCCTGTGAAGGGACAGTCCTCTCTTCATGGTGCCAGGTCCTATTTCGTAAACTCAGTTGACTTGCAGCAGTACAAACCAGAGCAGAAGATGACTCTAACTCTCATCACTTTAAATACAAATCATCAGACAGTTTGAGTGAACCAGACCTGGGTTGCTGGTTTTTCCTCCTCAGCAACAGTCACCCTAGTAGTTTTCCCTCTTGTGGTTTTATTTTAGTCACTTTAAGTACATCAGAGTATGTGGGAAAACCAGTAAATGCTGAAATCATCTAGTATGCTTAAATAAGTGCCAAATCAAAGAATGTAGAAATGGTAAGAAAAGATAATCATTTGGAAGGATCAGTAATATGAGGTAATCAGGTACATACTGGTATGGTGTTTTGTATGTGTTTGGTGCCTTTAAAGAGAAAGCCTGTATAACTTACATCTTATAAAAAGGCAGTATTTCAATAGGAAATCAGGTTTTCTTCAGGTAAAGCTAAAGCAAATAACTTCTGCATGAGGTACTGCTAACTAGGCAAATAAAGGTGGATTGTTCAGAAGTAGAGTTCACAGGACTTTCCACATCAAGGACTTTTCATTTAAATTTGTAAGTGTTCATGTGATAACTCATGTTCTGTTATCACATCCTCATGAAACTACTTTGCTTACAGTAGAAGAGGAGGAAGTAGATACAGATTCTGGAAGGAAACTTGTCAGGATTTCTCCTTGCTTGATCATGTTAATAGAGATTTAGCTAAACAAATTCCCTTGACCTAGCCTGAGTGATTTGACTCGACTTTGGGCTGGCTTTCTAGAAAGGAGCAACCCTTTTAGCCATAGGTAGTGAGGAGGAAGGAGAGCTGTATCTGGACATGATACCAGTTCTGTGGATGGCAATGTCTTGAGGACCCATATAGCTGTAATTTATACTGCATTCCTCTTTCCTGAGGTAGGAATAGAGAGCTGCTAGAGAGCAAAACTGTGTCTGTGTCATGCGTTCTCAAGTAAGAGCAGTATCTTTCTTGTTCATTGATGAGAAAAAGCTACTCAATTCCCCTCCCCCCCCCCCCAAAAAAAAAAAGTGTTTGCAATACATGTAGTTTATAGGTGGGATTGATCTCATGAAGACTGCCTGTCTGGGATTTCTAATGATGATTTATTTTCCCTTTGAAGTAGTAAAATTCACATCTTGATCCATCTCTTATTGTTGCACTGCTTTTTAAAGTTAGTATCAATTAAGACTGCAGACCTTTCTCCTGCTACTGGCCTGCTGTTGCTTAGTAACTCTTTTTTCCCATTTCAATTCCTGACCAAATCGGCACAAAGCTGTGGTTTGGTGAAGACTCTGGCTGTGCCAGAAGCCATTTCACATACTCAAACTGGCCATGTGATAGTAAGAAAGTGTGAGAATGGAATATAATTAATTTGAAAAGCATTGGGTGGGAAATGAGTATAATTTAGTGTCATTCCTTACAGTGCTTCAAAGAGATTATTTGCAAGCTAATGCTTTTTACTTGAATAAAATAACAGCATGTGTTGATATTATTACAGTTGGATTATTCAGATAATTCTGAACTGAAACCATGCTGATCTCTACGAAGGAACAGAGTTCTGTTTATGATCCTGACTTTCTTATCACCCTCTTCTAGATTTCAGCAGCAGCTTTGCAGATTAAACAAACCTGACTGGGGAACGGGTACTGGTCTGCCTCCAAGAGTCTTCCTTATGAGCATTAGCAATCTCTTAAATTTACAGTGATCATGACAGATAACTCCAGTGACACTTTCTCTACTGAGTTGTACACATACTCAGACATGGAAGACTTTCAGACAAGGTACAGTGGTACTTAGAATTATCAAGGTCTGTTGAGACACTGATGTTTCTTTGTGGATTTTTTAAATAACTCTGAATGGGTTTTTTCCACCTATCTGCTTCTGCCTGTAGATGTTTTCTCAGAAATGTAGGTTCTGATTCATGCATGCATCACAGTCATTGTGAACTGATGAGTCCCTTTGCCATGAGGAAGAAAAACAAGCAGTACCACACATCATTCCTATTACAGTTTGTTGCTGGGAGGATCGCACCCAGTTATTGGTGTGTCCGTTTACTTCTCTTCAATCAGCTGTCTCCTTTCCAACTCTGTGATCTAGTCAAACTTCTTGCCATTACCTAAACTGACCATGGTATCAGGGATGGGGCAGCCACAACTTCTCTGGGCAACCTGTTTCCGATGTGTGCTTACTGAATTGTATTTAGTTGTGACTTCCTGAAACTCATGCATGATTTTGTAGTCCCAATGCAAAAATTAAAAATCGCAAAATGCTTAAAATCTGAACCTGTGAATTACAGAGAATCAAATAGGGGGTTGGCCAATAGCTTAGACATCTCATCATTTTGTGTAGTTGATGTTGAGCTTGTAGGCGCCCCAGATGTAGAACCCAGCAATAAGTGAAACACAGGAGCTATGAAATGGCATTGCCTTTGCATCTGACAGTCTCTTGCTTTATTTCTTAGATTGAAAACAGCTTGCTTTGTGTCTTAACTGCACAGCAGGTGGAAGGGCAGCTTGCTGTATCTTTCTGAGTTTAGGTTGTTGTTTTGGTTAGGGTTTTTTTAAGATTTATATTGAGACTTGTTTAATCTGTTACTATAGATAAAGAACGTGAATTTGATGGAATCAAGACTACCTGTGGCAACTTTGATTACTGTCTGACTGTTGTGTTGAAACTCCAGTCCCTGTAAGCAGGAAATATGCTCTTCTATATTCTTGTGAGGAGCTGGTTAAATCATTGGAACTGTGTGTGATGGTCTCATCAAGAACAGTGCACTTACACAGTATGCAGTACCTCTTCTATACTGTGTGTATGTAAACCAACCAATAAAACACTTAGAATTCAGACCACATCTGTAGGTAGTGCTGTTCAAACATAACTCTTCAGTTTGCTGGCTGAACATAGGATTGTGATACATGTGATTTTGAGTTATTTTTTTCCAAAATAGTAATTGAGAATTGCCTTCAAAGATAAAAAAAGTAATTTGAGATATTAAATCATGGTCACT